AAATACCACCAATATGGAACAGCAAACATATCAACCATAAAAATAGGGTTGTTAAACACTGTATAGAGACGAAAGAGATACTATTATTTCGTAATCAGAGTGCGATTCCAATTCTGGCTTGAAATTTGAAATCAAACGTTTCCACGGTCATTCTAGCCACGACACAGCAGCGGCGCCACTCGCTGTTTGTGGCCTCAAAATCTCCGTGTGCAAATGCTCTTATTGATTGCAATTTGCAATCCTTCCCTAGGTCCTTGCAGTAAATGCGCAGCGGTCTTCATAAACGCTTCCAATATGGCGCTCTTTTTAGAGACGTCCTAATCTAATCTTGAGTTTGGTTGTTTTCTGAATTTTGTTTTTTATGTAAGGACACAAAAGTATAGTAATAGTCAACAAATTTAGTGTAACAGTTTAAGTTTTCATAGTTAAGTGGTAACAACAATCCGCCAAGATGCCGCGTATTATGATAAAAGGCGGCGTTTGGCGAAACACTGAGGTTTGTCCAATTTTCATTTAGTTATTCATTACCTGAATTTTTTTTCTGCCACGTTACCACTGTAATACGATTAAGAAACTGATTATTTTTCTTCTAGGATGAAATACTTAAAGCGGCTGTAATGAAATATGGCAAAAACCAATGGTCTCGTATTGCCTCCTTACTGCATCGCAAATCAGCTAAACAATGCAAAGCGCGATGGTATGAATGGCTGGACCCCAGTATCAAGAAGACGGAGTGGTCGAGAGAGGAGGACGAGAAGCTACTGCACTTGGCCAAGCTGATGCCGACACAATGGCGAACTATCGCGCCGATCATTGGAAGGACAGCGGCACAGTGTTTGGAGAGATATGAATATCTTTTGTAAGCTTTCATTTATATTATATCATAAAGTACTTAGTGTATCTATCATCGTTGTTGCAAATATCAGCATCTGCACCTGCAGATAATCTGCATAAATTGGAATATCCGCATTCATAGATGCGGATATTCCTTGTGGATATTCAAGAGTGACATGAACCAAAGGGCACACTGGAATAGTTTACAAACCTTCTAGAAACAGACTGTAAGTTGAAAAATGTAATGTAAGCCTGTTGTTTTTACAATATACTTTGATAAAATTCTTGATTAGGCTAGGCTAGGCCTTGCAGAACCGGTCCATTTCCTAAAACTTTATTCCCTGTGCTGGGCTTACCTCAGTACTATAACTCCTGGTATTACCGGTACTTCTTGAAAGTTTGAGTTTTCCCCATATTTCCGCAACTGGTAATTCCCAAAGGCAAGCCTTGATTGATTGTTTTCATGATAATTGATTGTATTGTTATAAATGTCACAAAATCATTGAAATAATATTTATTACAATACTAAAGAAAATTGAAAGCTTTTTCATATAAATAGATTCAGGACGGTTGTACATATTTGTGTTTTTTTGAAATACATAAAATCAGCACCCGGTGATGTGTAAACAAACCTGCATCAGCAACAACCCTGGTGCCTATGTATTGATAGAACTTGATATCAATAGATAGGTGTCAAGTTCCATTTGGTCAGTTTGACTTTTTATTATTAAACAATCTACTTTCCTATCTTATTCCAAAAGACTGTATGCAATTTCTCAATATTCCAATTCCAATAAAAACACTGAAACATTATGTATTTTAAGACATGTATATTCAGTTAACAATTATCAGTATTTGCATGTGCACTGCTATAATTATCTCCTTAGTTTTTAAAGCATTCTTTCATCACCATGTGTCACTCAACAACAGTAAGCTTTTTGCTTGTTTAATTTTTAACTTACATCAGATAACGCGCTCACACTTCATCAAGTTTCTATACTGTAAAGGTTTCTATTCTAATATCCAAGTTAAACATTCCATTAGAGACATAGTTTTTGAAATGCTAAATTTGTTAATGGTAACCTGAATTTTCTTGCAACAGTATTCTACAATATACTTAGCCATATTAAAATCATACATTTCAGGGATCAAGCTCAAAAGAAAGAAGAGGGCGAGGACATGGGAGATGATCCCCGCAAACTGAAGCCAGGTGAAATTGACCCCAATCCAGAGACAAAACCTGCCAGGCCTGACCCCAAAGACATGGATGAAGATGGTAACATTTTTGTAATTAATCACTGCCATAAATTATGATATTGTTATTTGTTTTGTGTGGACTATGAAGTAACTAGTTCTTTCTAACTCCAAAACACTTTTAACAGAATTAGAAATGCTGTCTGAAGCTCGTGCACGTTTGGCAAACACACAAGGCAAAAAGGCCAAAAGGAAAGCGCGGGAGAAGCAGCTGGAGGAAGCCAGAAGGCTTGCAGCATTACAGAAGAGGAGGGAACTTAGTGCTGCTGGCATTGCTGTGCCTATGAGGTAACTGCAACTTGAGATTTAGAAAATTTGAAAATGCTTTGCAACTAACAGATTTATTGGCGATGTACATACGTAAAGGACGAATTTAGAGGATGTCTGGAACATTGAAAATTAATTTAATTATTTTAACTTGTTTAAATACTTTGACATAAATCTGTGAATATTTCGGTTTTTAGGCGCAAAAAGAAGCGCGGCGTAAATTATAATGCGGAAATTCCATTTGAGAAGAAACCAGCTCCCGGTTTTTACGACACGTCTACCGAGGTGGTAGACCCCATGGCGCCGGACTTCTCGCGGTTGAGGCAGCAACATTTGGATGGAGAACTGCTGTCTGAAAAAGAAGAGGTGGGGAACTTTGCGATATGTGACTTCCCAGTTAACTACAATAAGTTTTGTTCATTTTTTTCTTAATATGTATTTACATATTCTTACTGTCGGACAGAGAGAGCGGCGCAAAGACAAGAACAAGCTGAAACAACGCAAAGAGAACGACGTGCCGCAGGCGATGCTACAGGGCGACCAGCCCGCTAGGAAACGGAGCAAACTGGTTCTACCGGAGCCCCAGGTGTCGGATCAGGTAAGGCGGCGACGGGCTCTGTCCGCGAAGGCGAGAGCGGTTCTGAAGCGGGTTTTGTATTTATTATTCTCACATGTACATGGTCAGGTGTTACAAATGTGTTGCATTATGACTAGAGTGTAGTACATGACCCTGAATATGGCACTGCAAATCAAAATATTGGATACTATAAAATAAAAATTGAGAATAGAGATTGAGAGGTGTAAACAAAAATGTCAAAATTTTAAAATTATGTAGAAGGCCGAGAGATCTATTGAGTATGCCATTTAGATTTTATAACTCAAATCCCATACTGGTTAAAATTAATTACAACGCTGATAATGTAGATAAAAAATAGACACATTTGACTTTCTTGGGTTAACAATCGACAAGAACCTTAACTGGAAGGAACACATCGAACAGATTTGCATGAACCTAAACAGATTTGTTTACACTCTATGAAGACTTAGGCGAACTGTCTCGTGAGAAGCTGCGTTGACGGTCTTTCATGGCTACGTTTCGTCCGTGCTCAGCTACGGTCTTGTATTGTGGGGTAACTCAGTAGTCTTAGAAAGAGCGTTTAAAGTTTAGAAGAAGTGTATTCGAGCAATTTGCGGCGCCTGGTTCCATGACAGTTGCAAACCGCTGTTCAAAAGGCTGAACATATTACCTTTGCCATGCGTGTACATTAGGGATATCTGCGTATTTCTCAAATCTTATCCTAAAACAGAAGTCATTCAAAGGCAATTTAGAGTGGAAATTATGAATCTTTTATACCAACGTCGTCGCCATAAAGTAATTTATAAGAATAACTGTTTCAACATGTGTATGTATTTACAATAAATTACAAAACGAAATTGAATTTTTACAAGGGTATACTTTTAAATTATAAATGACAAAACAGCTTTGTTATTCACAGACAGACACATTGCTTCTGTAGTAATAAAGAATACTTAGAATTTACAAATTCATTACATTAATTAGAAACTATAGAGACTAAACTTTAAATCCCATCAATATTTGCACATCTGCTTGCAGGTTGAATACAGTGTACCTAGTTTTACTTAAGACTTATGTAATTACTGTGCTCTGGCAAGTAAACGTATTTATCAATGAATATTGAGTAATTATCAATGAATTACTATATAAGTATTTACAGTCGCATTGATCGCGTCCAACGTCGGTCTCCGTTCGCAGGAGCTGCAGCAGGTGGTGAAGCTGGGCCGCGCGTCCGAGGCGGCGCTGGAGTCGGCGGGCGCGGCGGGCGCGGCCACGGACGCGCTGGTGGCCGCCTACGCGCTGGCGCCGGCGCCCGCCACGGCGCTGCGCACGCCGCAGCAGGCGCACGACCGCGTGCTGGTGGAGGCGCAGAACGTCATGGCGCTGACGCACGTGGACACGCCGCTCAAGGGCGGGCTCAACACGCCGCTGCAGGCGCCCGACTTCGCGCCCGCCGCGGCCGGCACGCCCGCCACGCCCAACACGCCCGCCACGCCCAACGCCGTGCTGGCCGCGCCCTTCCGCTCGGCGCGCAGCGACGCGTCCACGCCCGGCTTCGGCACGCCCCGGGGCGGCCCCAAGGTCAGCTCCGACGAGACTTTTCCGAGACTCTTCATTGTTCATACGAAGATCGACCACTGAGAAAAAAAAAAAAAATTCCGTCGTTCCGACTTCATTCGAGCGTTTTCCTGCAAACCGACAGAGCCACGGGACGAACTAGCGTACCTTACGATTTTTTCTGTGTGCTTGTTGCAGATCTTTGTTTTTGGTTTTTGATGACTTTTTGTTCGAATTATAACAAAGCAGTGCAGTAATTTCACAAACAATATAGTTGAATTACACGGTGATCAAACACAGTGACGTTCAATAAAAACTTAAAAATTACAACTTTGAATTAATACAATTACATGAAATCAAATGTTAACGTTACAGACGCCTGGCGTCCGTGACAAATTGAGTATCAACCCAGAAGACAGGCTCGGCGGAGGGGACACACCACAAATCGCCAATCAGTTGCAAAAACAGGTAAACATTTCTGATGCTATTGTTACACTGAAGTCGCAATACATCTATCAAAATGTAATTTATGTTACAAAATAATAACAGGCTGAATCCTAATTAGTAATCTGGTTGTATTTGACAACAGTCGTATAAGGGGCAACGTATTAATAATAATAATAATAATGCGCACACACTCATAGCCCCGAACTAGGGAAACCCTGTATTGCGGGTGCCATGAACCCCACACATAGACAACCACAAATTACACCTAAACTGACGAGAGAATTAAATGTAAGCCATACAAATATTTTTTCCGGCCCGGGAATCGAATCCGGGACTTCTTCGTGGCAGCCCATCATGGTAACCGTTAGACCACGAATGCAGTAATAGTCTAAGTAGCGTTTTATAATAACACTTGATATATACTTATTTATAATAACTAAACTGTGAGATGAAGTCCAAAAATGTAAACAAACAACTGTCACTGTCAAAGTGACATCTCATAGATCATAAACCTTTTTTTTACGTTCGTTTATTAACAGATTTCACTCTATTCTGACTAATAATTATAACGAAAAACTTTTCGGGTTGAAAACTGCCTCTGTGGCCGAACGGTTGGTAACCGTCAGCCGGACTGCCACGCATAGGTCCCGGATTCGATTCCCAGGCCGGGAGAAATATTTGTATGGCCTACATTTATTTCTCTCGTAAGTTTAGGTGTAATTTGTGGTTGTCTATGTGTATGTCCATGCGGGGCTATGTTGAGTGTGTGCGTTATTGTTATATTATTATTATTTTTAATTTACAAAACTTTTTACAATCATTTTGTGTCATAAAATATTTTCATTTAAATATTTACGAGGAAATGAGAAGGGCTATAATAAATTATTCACACTTCTGCTTATAAGTTTTTAAGTTTATACATAACAAATATAAATTAAAAATCGAATAAACACTAAGGACAGCCAAAGGTTGTTAATCCCCGAAACATTGCCAATGGGACAAAAAATGTTTCCACAGGAAACAATTTTTTGACATTATCTTATTAAATACGGTGTTTTAAATAAAAAGTATTTGATGTTTGGTTTGTACATACATGCACACAATTTAAAAACAATATAAAACATCTTGCATTAGTTTTTAACCCTTTTCACTGTTTCACTATTCATATAATATTTGTTTGGGTGATGCCATTTCACCTTTGTTTACATTTTTGGGCTTTGATTTCGTGTCATTTTCGAGTTTATAAGTAGGTACTCGCCGTATCTATAATGGTTATATCGATGTCCCTCAGCTGAAGGCGTCCGTCCGCAACGCGCTGCAAGGCCTGCCGACTCCCCGCAACGACTACGAGATCGTGGTCCCCGAGCAGGAGGGCGAGGAGCCCGGCGAGGCCGCGCCCGCCACCCCCGAGCTGGAGGACCAGGCCGACGCCGACGCCAGGGCCTTCCAGGAACAGGAGGAGCGCCGTGAGTGAACCCTGTCAACCAAAGCTAAGGACTAGTTCGATCGTGCGCTACACTAAATACAGTAGGAGTGGTTAGTTAGCGTCGCACGCGCGCCAACAGCAGGTCTCGTTAGGCCTACTTGAGCTCAGTCCGCCATTTTAGCTTTATATAGTATAAGTGTTATTCTTGCGCGCAAATTCTCTAAAATCGTAGAGAAATGCCTAATTGTGCTGTTTTGGGGTGCAAAAAATGATAGACTTATTTTAACAAATTTTTAATTTTCTGTTTATCGAATAAATTTATTGTACTGTGACAAACGAAAGTATGTAATAAGTAGCTGTGCGGTGTCCTGCTGCACACGGAATAATTTCAACAATATTTTTCTCATGAAATTCAATAACAAGTTCATTGAAAAAAACGCCTAAGAAATTAGTCAATTGTTGTTATGTAAAACGATTGTAAAAGAACTATTTCATTGATAATTAAAAAGAATAAACAAGCTATTTGCCACTTTTCTCAATCAACTTGTTATTGAATATCGTCAGAAAAATCTTGTTGATATTTTTTTACAATATCAAGTGACGGGACGAACAAGTCAGTTGCAGTGCCACTCAGAGCTTTAAATCGCAAAAATCTTAAAGGCACTGCCTCTGCGCCCGGCACACAGTGGGCCCAAATAGATAATTCTTGGACATAGGAATAACTTGTGGAGTATCAAGCTAATTTTTTTTTATATGATAGATAATAACATTTCTAACAACTTTTATTCTTGTATAATTTCTTGAAAAGTTGAACGCTTCGGAGAAAAAAATAATATTTTTTTTGTATGGAGAAATATACATTTTATTTTTTATCTCTTAATGTAGGAAAATGTAATGTGTGTGATTTATTTACAGTATAGGTCCAATCACTCTCTATCAAGAAAAAATGTTATCCTTCTGCAGGTACTTGCGGCTTTACGAGTAAAAAGGTGTCAAAATTTTAGATTTGTTATTTATTTTTTAACACAATATGCTAGTTTCTACTTAACTTTCGTGTTATTGTTGTAACACTCTCTAAATTTCACTAAAATTAATATTTTTTAGTCGCAGCTTATGTATTTTGTTAAAAAAGTACATAAAAGAGTTAGCAATTTTGCTGTACCTTTACTTACAAAGCCGCAAGTACATGCAGACGGATTATTTTTTTCTGCATAGAAAATGATTGGAACTATACTGTAAGTAACCCCGCACATTCTATTTTCGTATATTTTGAGATAAAAAATAAAATGTTTATTTCTCCATACAAAAATAACATAATTATTTTTTTCTCTCCGAAACTATCAACTTTTCAAGAAATTATACAACAATAAAAGTTAGGAATGTTATTTTCTATCATATAAAAAAAAATTTGCTCGATACTCCACTAGTTATTCCTATGTCCAAGAATTATCAATGTGTGCCCACTGTGCGGTATCCTGAGACATAAGTTGACAAGTCCCATGTTCCTGTAATTCCACCAGCACCCTTAACCATCAAAACCGGAACGCAGTAATGCTAACATTACTGCTTGGCGGCAGAAATAGGTAAGGTGGCAGTACTACCCTGGACTAACTCTTTCACAACGTGCTCTACTAGCTAAATTATCCCGCGTGCAGCGCGACGTTAATGTTACGTAAACTGTCACCCCTTCCGTACAAAGCAGCTGTCTCAGGAGAACAAAATTACTTGTTAGCAATGATATTGTGGAGTCGAAGCTACAAAATTGGGCCACTTGGGCCACCCCAGAAAAGTGGCCTGTTTTTCGGTTTTTTCCAAATGTATTTCAGAGAGTGTACCACCCTCACCCTCGGTTAACTAGAAACACCGGAACACTCCATCCTTATATCCTGTCATTGATATACCACCCATCGCTTTGTTTCCTCCTTTGTAAAGCATACGGCAAAAGAACGGCGTCCACTACTGCTAACGTCTGTATTTCACAAAAATTACAATTTAAGGCTATTTCAAAGCTGGAGTGAATCTTTCACGATATCGCTTGACATTCAGGTGAGATTGTGGGGTGGCGTCTGTCTGCATATTGGCGCATATTTCCCAGGACTGGCGGCTCTCGCACGTCGGTCCATGGCCATCCAGCGCGGCTGCGCGCGGCCGGCCGAGGTGAACAACAGCGTGGTCCGCACGGGCGCCTCCACCCTCACGCCGCTGCAGCAGGCCGAGGAACTGCTCAAGGCCGAGATGGTCACCATGCTGCATTACGACGCCTTGCACGATCCTCCTAACAGTCAGTACTGATCCGCTATTCTTGTCATACCATCATTATCATGTGTAGACTATACCATAAACAACAAGAATCCGGGACCTCGTGACAGACCAGGATGGTAACCGTTCGGCCACAGAAGCAATTTAAACCATACAGCTATTATTACACAGTCGATATATTGTTTAACTGCTTCCGTGGCTGGACGGTTGCCACGTAGAGGTCCCGGGTTCGAGAGAAATATTTATATGGCCTACATTTGTTTCTCTCGTGAGCTTGGGTGTTATTTGTGGTTGTTTATGTTGTGTCCATGGCACCCGCGATACAGAATAGTGCGGGGCTATGAGTGTTTAAAAACACATTAACGTGTACGGTGCTGATGCATATCGGTATACTGGTGAGTGTGGGCCCTAAAGTATTAACAGTTTGACCATCCAATCATTCATTCCAAAACACAACTACAATCACAATCACCCACCATTAAAAATACTTTCAACACGTGTTTCGCCTCTACGAGGCATCATCAGGAGATGTGACTGTTCGACGCCCGGCCGAAGAAACAAGCGAATTTTCAAGTAATTCACTTCCATTTTTATTTACTCTTCAATTACAAAGCTATATATTTCTTATACACATTCGCAGGTGTGGACAAAAAACGCGCTATCCAATTGCAAGCGGCCCATCTGGCTTATCTTGAACAGCACCCCTACGAAGAGTTCACCCCTGAAGAAATCACAGCGGCAAAGAAAGAGATGCAGAAAGAGATGGAAGTCGTCAAAGCCGGCATGGGACACGGGGACTTGAGTCAGGATGCGTACACTCAGGTGTGGGAGGAGTGTTTAGCCCAGGTCAGTTGTGTTACCACGTCTTAAAATCACATCTACCCTCGATGCATTGTTTCAACAATTTTGTCCCTTCTAGGTGCTCTTCTTGCCCGGCCAAAACCGGTACACGCGGGCGAATCTTGCGAGCAAGAAAGACCGACTGGAGTCCGCCGAGAAGAGACTCGAACAAAACCGGAACCACATGGCCAAGGAGGCCAAGAAATGCTCCAAAATGGAGAAGAAGTTGAGGGTGCTCACAGGTGAATAATTGTCAACTATCTTTTCAAATGTATTTATAGAGATTTTTTTGTGCAATAATTCCTCTATAGTCGGTTCCAATATATTTTCAACAAAAAGTAAACAAAACTGGTTAAAATTGTAAAGCAATCACTCAATGAATCGAATAAGTAACACTTTCACGTATATTTCGAAGATTTCGACTTGATATCGTATCGCTTTTTCCAACAATATTTATTTGAATGGCATCATAAAATTGTATTTGAAAAATGGTAGTCCAAAAGTGAGGTCATTTTTCATCTATACATCAATAACTTACTTGTCTATGGTTGCATAGTGCTGTACGAAAAAAAAACATTCGGTTTCATTCAATTAAAGTTTTTGTAATCGATTAGTAAACCGATTATGTCAATCGCAACCGAACGATTATCTACGTTTTAGGATTTGATGTATTTAAAAAAATTTTTGGAAATTTTAAATATGTTTAATAGGTTGTAGTCATATTACAAAATTGAATACTACGATTTAGATAAACATGTATGGAAAGACGACACGGCTCCAGAATCCACATAAATTTCATTTAAAGTGTATTCCATAGCATTTAAGTTTATTTGGAAAGACCAATCCCTAGAGTTTCTTGCTCGTTCTTCTCAGGGAAGCCAGCGTAGTGAACGAGCAGTAGCGTAATGTAATGTGACGTTTTCATGTGTAAATTTATTTTCCCTATGGAATAAATGATCTTTTTGTGCATTCGTCGCCGCTTTTTTCTGTGTGTTCGAACTTTGTCTTTTCCAATTATTATTTTTGACTCTTTGAATCCCTGTGGCGGGATGTACATGACTTCAGTTGTTAAATTTAGTAGCAATACCTTTTGCTATTCGTGAAAAAAAAAACACCGCGATGAAACTTCACATCCGAGAAGTTTCACGTGTTTTGGCAAATGTGTGAATTCCCCTCCTGATTTAACCCTCTTTTTAGGAGTGTGTCGGGTAGTGGGACATGTAATAGGATAATGATTTTACCAGTGTTAGCAGGTTTGCTTTTTCTGGAGGAAATCCACGAGAAAAGCAATCCGTATATACTGTTACAATACTTTTCGAAAAATATTGCTTGTTAAAAACTTGTCGCGTTTCGATAAAACGAAATTTGAGAAAAGAAAGTTGTATACAATTTCTGCGAAACCTAGGGAAGTTATCACCTGCAATCACGCCCTTTGTAGGTGGCTACCAAAGTCGCGCGGCGTCGCTGATAAAACAATTCCAAGAGCTGCAAGATCAGATCGAGCATGCCAACCTCGAGCTGTCCACGTTCAAGTTCCTCTCAGAACAGGAGAAAGCCGCCATTCCACGTAGGATAGAGGTCAGTTATTCTATGTAATGTTCACTATGCGTCTCAAGTCCAAAACTAACAATCATCATTGGATACTAGCCAAAGTTTCGTATTAACTAGTGCGTACTAGCTAAAATATGGCTTAGATCTCAAATTCAGGATAATTGTTTAATTATTAATAGACTATAGTCATCGGCATCTTGGGTGATACCACCTCAAGTAACCGAGACCCCCTGTATGTGATTGTTATTCTGTGGGAATTATGCTCGACCCAATATTGCACGGTGATTTTGAAAGCTCGTTTGAGGATTAAAACAAACAATAATTAAATTAGTATCCCTTCAGTGCTAGTATGGTACTAAACTATTAATAATATCTCTTCTTCGTCTTCATTATTAACAATTTATAGTATTTAGTAGCAGTTGAGCTCTAAATATCTACTAATAAGTATCTACTCCCGCCAAGTAATAATGTCAGCTGGTGAAATAACAGGCAAATGGGACTTGTTAACTTATGTCTCACGGTGACGGGCACAGTGGCAGTGCCCCTCAGATCTTTGCGAATTAAAACTCTGAGTGGCACTGCAACTGTTATAAACAGGCGTGTAGCTTACTATCAGGCGCACAACTGGTTCGTACCGTCACTTGATATTATAAAAAAAATTACTGAAATTAAAAAAATGATTTTTTTTGTATACGTGAAACAAGTATTCTTATGGGCGGTGTCTGAAATAAATTATTTGCTGATCAATTTATTAATTTTAATTATTACTAAGATACGTTCTATCGCCATACCTAGCTGTTAAAATCACAACCCTGCGTTGGTTCGAGTATTACAAAGATTTTGAACCTAAAGTGTTTAAACAATTCTAAAAATTGATGCGTTTTCAATAAAGGCAGTTAAGTAATATCTCAATATTGATCGTGTACTTGAAGTCGATTTATTAATACGGGGTTATTTAAGTTTTTAGTGACATTCATTACTGCTCAAGCTCGGGTTTAAAATTTAAGTGCTACTAGTACTCATTAATGGACAAAATTCATTCAAAATCCCCTTAAAAGTACAATAGGACAATGAAAAGACGAAGTATGATCCACCAAAACGCTAATCACATAATCACTTACAAATAATAATTCGTTTCTTACTTACAGTCATTAACAGAAGACGTGAACCGTCAAACAGAACGAGAGAAACTGCTGCAAAAGCGCTACGCGGAGCTGCAAGCTGAACTCGAAGAATTGCACAAAGGCAGACAGCAGGAAGTGCAATCTTCACAAGAGTAAAGAAAGGATACTGTTGTACTAAAGATTTGCTGTTGTAGAAAAATATAGTCTATCGGAATTATTTCTTTGAAATTGTACCTTACGTGACATTCGCAATGTTGAGTCATGTGACCAGAGGTGGGCAGCGAGTTAAAATCCAACCAACCCGCCCGAGCTTAAAAGGGGTTTTGTCCCATTTCTGACGGCGGAAAGGACGAATACGGAATATGATTCCATACTTATTATAAATTTCGATGTAAATAACCTCAGTACAGAGTACAAAAAAAAACTGACCTCAAAAGTAGTTTCAAGTGGAATATTTTCTTCAAATTTAAATGGGACCACTTCTGAGGTACCCTCTTTCCATCAAATAGAGACTTGTCAAAATCGGTTCACAAATGTCGGCCGGAGTTATCGCGTAACATATAAAAAAACCAGTCGAATTTAGAGCGTCCTCGTTTTTTTGAAGTCGGTTAAAAATATTTTTTATAATAAGAATCTTGTTGATTATCACTACTGAGGATGTGTTACGAATTGGTTTTTATGAATATCAAAAATTAAAGTGCATATGGTCTAACTATTTATTTCAATTCGATTTTCAAGTGAATGGATTCAATATAAAGGCAAATTGAATCAGTCAAACATTTTTTAGTAATATCATAAAATTTTAATAAAACTCTATTTATAACAAATATTTAGTTGTAAATGGTTTGTGCCTTCGATTTCGGGCGTTAATGGGTTTTAACCTGATACAAACCTGGCGAGATCGAGTATATAACCAGAAATAGAGACGAAATGTCATTAAAATTGTTTGAAAACTATTCTGCCATACCGTTACGGTGACAACTGCGCTCCGATTGGCCAGCCCAAATTCGAAACAATTGACGGGTGTCGTCAATTGTTTCACTTCAAATCGACCAGTTTAACTTACGCTTTGCAACAATGGGCGAAAATCGAAATACTACATAATTTTTTTCCGTTTGTTTTGCAATTAGATGTTTTGCAGTTTTTCCCACACCACCGAATGGAACAGCCCCGCATTCTTAGAGATATTATCTTTATTACAATAAATACATAATATTTTTGGAATATACGGAGACGCTCACACAGGTCAGTTGTTTGTGCTGTACCATTTCAGCTTTCTAATTTGTGATTTCAGCGCAAACGAGAGTTGACATATTTAAAAGTGATATCAGTACGATTTGACTTATGCGTTGCCCAGGATGGATGGCCCTTACTTCGTCTCTATTTCTGGTTATATACTTGATGTCCGGCGATAACATTGCCCATCTCTGCATGTGGCAGAGTTAATACGTGTAAAATACAAAAGATTCATAAGAGTATAGTTCGATTTTACGCGAAAATAGACACACGCTTGGCCACGATCTCACCTGATGCTTGTATACAAAATGTCGATTCATTTTGGCCTTGAATAGCCCTAAATTGTAGTAAATTTAGAAAAATTCTAAGGTGATTGAGTATTGTTGTCGTAACGGACTACGATGGACTGAGCTGCAGTTGCTGACGTTAATACCAGTGCGTTCTCTTTAGTCCAAACTTAAGCATCATTGTTTAATCTGAGCTAGGCATAATTATTCCTTATCAGTGGCAACAAAGGTTCAATTATTAAGACTTAATTAATGCTGATTGTTTGAAAAAGAAATATAATTGAAGAGGAATATGAAGTTCAATGAAATAAAGTACTAAATGAAGTTATTATTATGTTTTATTTTGCTTTGTAACATGATTGAAAATTACGCTTAAGAATTAACATTCATTATTTATATTAGGATAAACATTAAATTACAACTTACAATTGAAGAGCATTATAAAAGTCATCATTGTTATAAATAATACCTTTTCGGGAAAACATCTTCATTTAGCAAAACGGGGAGAAACTAATTCCCTTTGAGATAAACATAAAACTACCTTTGTTTTGCTTTGAAGTGTACGTGCCTTATTCACCATAATAGAGTTTTAAAATTTGATTAGTAAGGTTAAAAGTAGATGTGATTTAATCGGCTCTAACCGACAAGCCGAGTTCTTAGGTTTTCGCAATGGTTACACAGGAAAGGAAACTGTTTTTCGGATTTAAATCGCGTATGTTTAGTTTTTTCAAACAAACCAACGTTTCGGACCCTTTACAGGCTAACTGAGATGGTATCATCAACCAGTTATATCTAAGGCGCCGCGCAAACGCTTCGCTCAAATATTCGTTCGTTAGTTCGAATATTCGCTTAGTTGCTTGTATCCAACACAAGATACATGCTTGCGTGGCATCAAATAGTAATGCAAGCCACACTTTTTTATAGTTGCAAATTATTAATTAAATACCTTATTTTAATTTTCTAAACAAATTTCAATTTACGCTGCATAAGTTTTTACAAAATATCTTTTTTAACAGAATGTATTTTTTTAATAAATTTATTGCGTCATAATAAAAGATTAGAAATAAAACAATGTTAATACTGCAGTCTTATTCAATGCAGTCGGTAAGATCTGACTGATGATTTTGGGACCATAGGAACTGTAAAGGGCCCGAAACGTTGGTGTTTGAAAAAACAAATATACGCGTTTAGGTCCGGAAAATAGTTTCATTTATAATGCTGTTCTACTGTTTTAAAAATTAATTTTAAGACCTTCAGTCGAGATATTAGAGTTTATAAACATAGAAAGTAATATAAAATAGTGCCAAACGTCCATACTCTCATCCAATTATAATGACGCTGGATTAGACTCGTTTCACGTAACTTTTCACTGGAAGTTACTCTGTATTTGTACACATTATTCGTTGTTTTTTGTCCAAAAATAACAGTAAACAGATATCACTATAATGTAACACTAATAATTTTTCTTATGACAGTTCTGTCGCGATCCAGACCCGCTGGTCACTTTCAAATCAATCAAATGCCTTCTAGTACTTTTCCTAATATATTCAATCCCCATTACGTGCGGGTGTAAAAACCTGCAGACACTTACATTCGGCCTGTAGTTCCCAAAGGAGCGTGGTAAATATTGATCTGCGACATTTAAATAAAAACCAGATATTAAAAGGTTTGGTGCGATGCGGAGATGTCCCATCCCTTTTCTGCAAAACTGCCGTTAGTACGTGGTTTATTAGACGCCGTTAAAACGTGACGTCACGTATAAACATCAAGGTGTCGTTTCTTTTTGACATTGTGAACAATAATTTTTCATCAGCTGCTATCATCCGAATCACTATGTATCCTCTTCACATTTCTTTTCTTCCGAACTAAAGGGCTTTCATTATTTTGATTATTCGCTTTACTATTCGCCTGCTGTGACCGTTTCTTTTTGTCTCTTCGTCCTTCTAGAAGCATCTCTGCCACTTCTAGTTCCGACACGTCGTTCGCTTGTGTTAGACCTATGTGGGAATCTACGCAGAAGCTGTCCTGTATAATACAATAGATATATTATGTCATATCCGATCGATTTTTGATTATCAGGCAAAGGTAAAAAAAAATAAGGCTATCTCATAAGAACGTACCATTTCGTAAGCGTCTTCTTCATCAACATATTGCGAAAACACTTCTGCATGATCATACTTCTTTGGCAGTAGTGGGATTTTAAACGTTCCTGGTTTTACTGGACTCCTGAAACATGAATGAGTGTTCTGGGTAGTGCTCCGAAGTTAACAGTTGCTCTCGTACTCATATGACAGGGAATTCCATATTTTTTTTGTATTATATACAGGTTATTTGTAAAATGGTAACAACCTAGTAACACCTAAACAAAAACTTTTGTTCCATGACTTAACTTATCGGATTTTATTTTCATACATGAATAAAACTATTTAAATATTATCGCTTTATTGTGATAAAATTTTGAAGATGGAGTAAAATGACAGTTCATTGCGCAAGTGTTACCCGTTTGCAAGCAGGTTCAGTGGCAGGTTAACACATAAATACACCACATTTAGAATTATAGCTATTAAAAATAAAAAAGGAGGCATATTTTAAAGCTTTTCTTTAATTTTAATTCAATGTGGATGATCAAATTCAAAGTCCTCATTAAAATGTATAGGAATAAAAATTGGTTTCGACACAGATATTTTTGGAAAAATGTTACCTTATTTCACAATCTGTCGATAAAACTGTCGACAACAACTACATGATTACATCAAATTTTATGAAAACTGGCAACCCTGCAAGTGTAATTTTACTCCGTCTTCAAATAAGACAGACTATAAATAATGCCGCACATATCAGCGTAAAAAGTGGATAAATATGTGAACCTTGGTCAAGAGGTCGTAACGGGAACGCACAAACTGGCCAACGAAATTGACAGGCGCATAAGATTGGCGTGGACCGCTTACTCCAAACTCGAATTCGCGGTTCAACAATCAATGTCGAACAAAAAGCTCGCACTCACGACCAGTGTATTTTGCCGGTGCTTACGTATGGGGCTGAGACCTGGGTTTTTACTAAGTAGATCATCCACAAACTTCACGTGGCCCAAAGAGCAATCGAAAGAAAACTGGTAGGATTTACGCTAGTACACCGTAAAAGAAACTAATGGATCAGAGAGGAAAGTAAAGTGAGCGATGTTACTAAACGGGTTATGAAATTGAAAAGAGAGTGGGCTAGCCATGTCGCCCGCAAGCAATGTTCTTGGTGCAATGCAGTAGTAGAATGGAGACCGTGAGGCGAGAAACGCCCAAGAGGAAGGCCACAGATGCGTTGGCACGACGATATCAAAGAACTAGAGGGAACAAAGTGGTTAGAAATTGCTCAGAAGAGATGGCATACATAAACTGAAGGAGCCCTACACCTTAGAGGTGGAGAATGTCTAAAGAAGAAGATTATGATAACTCGTTGCAAAACGCAGGAGTTGTCGGGGAGGACGCTTGCATGTCTGAAATTACTACAAAAACTTCAAAAGTTTAATGTTTTTGATGTTAGCAATAATAAAGTCTGGCGAGGTTCAACAAATCCATGACGAAGAATATAAATTGCTTACCTAACAGATCTCAAATAGTGCGCCTGCATGTCCTCGTGATGCGTGACATTGTCGTCGCAAATGAAGTCAATGATACTGCCAACACTGTCGTCCGATAGCTCGTCGCCACTCACCGAACCGCCGTCATCTGATAGCTCTGCTTCCAGGTCTATGAAACCGTTGGGTTTGTGCTTCTTCTGATAAAATAAAAATGTAGATTCTAAATGACATTATTAAGGCTCAACTTAAGAAGCGTATTTTTGTAACCTTTTGTTGTGTAACGTACAAACTAAACACGGTTCGGTAGCTGCTCGAATTCCCAATACTGAGGACTGTGCGAGAATTCACTGGAAGACGTGCGACTTTCTCGGGTTTCAACAAATATGGTCTTTTGAGGGACGATTTACTTCATGAGACTGAGGACGTGCAGTTGTTGATGAACGCAACTTCCGCCTAGTGCGTCCAATGCAACTTTCCCTCCAAAAAGCATTCTCCCTAAAGAGGAATGGACTAAATATGAAGAGGACAAACTCTACCTTACGCCTATCGTCGAAAAGGTTAAGAAGAAAAGATTAAAACGCGAGAATTGGGAAAAAAATTACTAAATTGATTGCTTCTTAGATTAAGAGTAACTATTATTATTTAATAATCAATAAACTTAGCATGTTATTGTGACTAAAATTTAAAGCATTTCTTACTTTTCTCACTTTATGATTCTTGGTGGTTTTACTCCTGTGATTTTCAGTTTGATTATCCGTCCTTTTCGTCTTACTTCGATGGTAACTACTGCCTTCGATAAAATCATCATCGCTATCATCAAAATTAAGTTTCCGTTTGTTTGGTTGACTTCGCACTTTACAGTCTCTTCTAAACATTTGTAGCATTTCTAAATTATTCTTCCTAACATAATCTTCCTTGTCTGTCATTATTATTTCGTCGTGCAATTGAGGGTCTGTGTTTTCCTTTTGGGATATTATTTTTTCAGGAGATTGTACAAAATGTACATCATTATCGTTACGAAAATTCCTGTTAAACTTGTCAGATTTCAAAGCTTTCAAAACCTTCTCTTTTAAACTTAGTTTTTTTGTTTCGTTGTCTAATTTTGGCTTCTTATTGAAATAAGGAGATGTATTTATCTCATCATTTTGAAATGAAATTTTCCGTTTGTTAGTTGGAGGACTTTTTAATTGTATTGTATCAATATCACATTGATTTATTACTTTCTCTACTTTAGTTTCTACATTTTTATTTGAGCTTTCAGGCGTTTTGTTTACTTCGCTACTTCCTGGGATTTTTGGCGATTCTTCAGAGTTAATTTCAATAGCATCGTCTTGTATACTATTAGACTTAACATTGATGTCATGTACATCATACACTTGTGTATTGTTGTCTGAATCACTGTCACTTTCCAAAATTATTACACTCGTTTTTATGCTCTGAGAAACGATATTTTTGTTCATAACATCAATTGCTTTTACAGTTTTTTTTCTATCAGCTTGGGTTAGAAGAATAGGAGATACACTCCTTTGACACTCTTGTTTAATTTTAGAAATATTAACTAAAGACTTGTCATCGGGTTTATTAATCATATCTACAAGTTGTGTTATTGTTAACATACTTTTATTTGTAGTATCCATTGTGTTATTTTGTACACTAGATTTTGCCTCGGTCCTATCTTGGTTTAGTTCAACATTATTGTTAGCTTCTGATATTAAACGTCTTTTGACATTGCTAGCAGGTGTTGAACTACTTGGTTTATTTTTCTTTGTGCTTAAGTTGAATTTACGGGCTTGACTGCACAATATTGGGGATGTTATATCTTTTCCTTTTCCTGACAGAATCGAAGGGCTAACTTTCTGTTCTCGCAAATGTCCGTTTCGTGAACTGTCGTTTTTATATCGAGACTTATCAATTTCCTTATTAGGAGTTTTAGGTGATAGATGAAAATTGTTTTCATCAGAATCCGCGAATATATCATCTATACTATCTAAACCAAAGAATCCTAAAGTCTCTTTAGGGTCACTTGAATTTTTCTCTTTTAATGCAGTTGTGTCTTTAGCGATCCCGTCTTCGGGACTACTATCCGCAAATATGTCTTCAATATCACCCAGGTCAAAGTTCTTATCTTCCACTTTGTTACCTTCTTTTTTTATTTCTAAGTTTTCTGGTGAATTCAACTCATTTGGCGTATCGAAATCAAATTCTAAGTCAAAGTTTTTGTTACAATTTTTAGTATCTACATCAAGGTAGTTGACATTATCATTTACAAAATCATGGGCGTTGTCACTTGTATTCATTATTCTAATCATTTCATCGTCATTCAATTTAACGTATTTACGTATAGACTCAACGTCTATTTGATCAATTAATTTGAGATCAGGTAACTTAGGCTTACTAAGGAATGATTTTATAACGTGAGTACTCGTTTTAACATCTCTTGCGCTTTGAAAAATCTTGCAGTTACAAATATTATCGCAGATGTAACAACTTTTGTCCTTTTCAGATGTGTTATTTATTGTAAGGTCCACTAATAAATTAATTAACTTTGTGGATAAGTTCCCAGTATTTTGTATTCCTAAATCACTAATTAGTTTAGTATAACTTTTAGTGGATTTAGTAGCTGTACTAAACAAGGCTCTGATGTCGCCATCATGTTTTCCTGGAGGTTTGATCATGGGGAGTTTTTGTTTCTTTTTTGTCTGTTTCGCTTTTGCTGGAGACATTTTTGCCGGAGATGAAACTTTGGTGGAAACTGAAGTCATTGGTGCTTTCACAGGGGATGCTATGACGATGTTTTGAGTGGCACAATTCTGAGTGTTGAACGCTAAAAAGAAAAAAATGTGAAGTCACAAAATTATTAATATAAATAAAGTTTTCTTTAAATTAAAGACAGGGAATTTGCAAGACATGCACTTTATAAGAGTTTTTTCAAGAAGCGTCTTATGTTCTTTTGTAACTGACGCTGAACGGATTTGGTAATTAATTTCGATGTAGGTGAAAAACTGGCATTCTACGTATACATTTGTTTTGTATATTTGTATGGTATAGATATACCATCGGTTTGACAACAACTTATTAATACGTCAACAACAAGTACTTACTAGGACCTGGCATATCAAATCGTTTAGCATCACTGTATTGCAGTAAGGACGCGAGAATCTCCGTGTCTTTTGAATGCTCGATGTTGACTGTACTCTGCAGCGTTCGTTGCCATTCCAGCCAAGTCGACAGGTTAAGTTTGTTTTGGTAATCAACCTTAGATGTTGATATTAATGTTTCTGTAATGTAATGTCATTATGCGTCATGGCGGCTTTAATAAATATTAGGGGTTAAAGTATGAAATTGCCGTTTTATTGCAATAGGTTCTTTGAATTTTCATAGAATCTTCATGGTTTGAGGTTTTCGAATGAAACTTTTTTCAAATGGTTTCTGTGATTTTTTTGTTTTTTTAAATTTGAAACATTTGAATATCGACTTTCAATTGTTTTTGTTATTCAATTTAGACAAGAAAGATGGATACTGCGAAAATTCGAGTGATTTTTGAATACGAGTTCCGACGCGGAACTAACGCGGCAGAAACAGCCCGCAATATCAATGCTGCGTTTGGAGAGGGGTCTACTAATGAACGCACCGTGCGATTTTGGTTTAAACGCTTTCGTGATGGAAATTTCGACTTAAAGAACGAGCCACGAGGAAGACCGCCCACACAGGTGAATAACGATGAATTAAGAGAGATAGTGGAAGCCGATCCTAGTCAAACTACCCAGGAATTAGCGGCATGGTTTAACGTTACCTTACCCACAATATTGACTCACTTGCGTCAAATCAATAAAATAAAAAAATACGAAAAATGGGTGCCTCATGATTTGACTGATCTGCAGAAAGAAACGCGTGTTGAAACTTGTGTTGCCTTGTTGAACCGGTACAGAAATGAAGGAATATTGGATCGAATTGTAACATGTGATGAAAAGTGGATTCTTTATGATAACCGGAAAAGAAAAATGCAATGGCTGACCCCAGGTCAAACACCACAGGCCACAACAGTGTCCTAAAGCAAAACTTACCAATAAAAAGGTAATGGTAACTGTTTGGTGGTCTCAGCATGGTGTTATTCACTATAGTTTTCTCCGATCTGGTCAAGCAATAACGGCAGATGTCTATTGTGCCGAACTCCGAACCATGTTGACAAAACTAGCAGTAAAACAGCCCCGACTCATGAATCGATCTTCACCATTATTGCTCCACGACAACGCGAGACCTCACACAGCACGAGAAACCATTTTGACCCTTCAGGAACTGCAGTTAGAAACCATTCGTCATCCTCCGTATTCACCAGACCTTGCTCCAACGGACTACCATTTTTTTCGTGATTTGGACAATTATCTACGTGACAAGAAGTTTTCTTGCCAGGAGGCAGTACAAAATGCTTTCACACAGTTTGTGCAGTCTAGATCGTCGGAGTTCTATCGCAAAGGCATTAATAACCTTCCCATTAGATGGCAGCAATGTATAGATAATAATGGCAACTATTTTGATTAAATAAATTTGTTAAAAATTTAAAAAAATAAACAATTTAGATTTTCAGTACAAATCGGCAATTTCATACTTTAACCCCTATTATTAATATAATAATAATAATTGTTTATTTTCAAGCAAAAATTCCATTTTACACATACTATGTAATCTATAATAATGATAATAAAGTAGGATAAAATATAAGAGACTATAAAGTAATAATATAAAATATGATCTGTACACAGGTCTTTGTCTAATCTATTTCCTGTTCGCGTTGCGGTGGATGGAAGGCCAGTACATAAAAATTGGGCCAGACATATCAGAAATTGGTCTTAGTAACAACTTGAGCACTTATAAGTGGCGTACAGGCGGAGCTCGATCGTTGCGAAACGCAGGAAAACTACAATCTGTTGCCGACCGTACCGAACTCGGAACGCGAAATTCGCGGGTAATGGGTCCCCGATTCTACGAACATTTAGCCACAAGCCTGAAGTATTACAAACGACGAAACTATTTATCCTCGACTAAAATTCCTTTTAATGGATAATGAATTCTACAGTGTCGATGAGTTTCTTTTCAAACAATTCTAATTTTGTTTTACTTGACTTCGTTGTATTTCGGTAGGCAGTAGTTATACTACTTTATTTAATATTCTTTATTATTTTTTGCGTTAGTGACAATCATGTTACCCCTTGACATTATATTTTGAATTGTGACATTGATAATATGAAATAAATTATTCTATTATATTCAACGCAGTATGTCCCAAAATGGAGCAATACGATTCGTGACCACAGCAAAGAACTCCGGCAATCCCTCTACGGTGAATATGCTCGATACACTACAGTAGCGTGGTAAATTTATAAGAATGCGGAACACGTAGTATTGCACTATTAAACTATTAAAAACGTCATGGAAGAGACTTGGGAAACTCTATTACTTCTGGCACCACAGCAGTAACCATCCGCCAGACATAAAGAAGTGTACTGTGTGTTCGAAGTAAATGAATTTACCTTTATTCATCGCCCAGTATTCGTTAGAACTATGCAAGAAGTCGGTCTCCCGGTAGCCATCAGGGAAGACATAGTTGAATTCTGCCTCAGATATCAAGTTGTCAATGTTGTTGGACGAGTTTGAACTGCTCGAAGACGCTCGACCGAGAAGCATCGTGCGTAGATCTTTCTGACCCTGCAATTTATTTTAATAATAGAACTAGTTGATGTTTACTGTGTGCCAACTTTACATATTTGAAATCGTGTAGCAGTAGAGCTCCTTGTGAAAGAGTTCGTCCAGGGCAGTCCTGCCACCTTATCGATTTCTGCCGCTAAGCAGTAACGTCCGCATTACAGTGTTCCGGTTTCAAAGGGTAAGGGTGCTGGTGAAATTACAGGCACATGAGAATTGTCAACTTACGTTTCAGGGTGACGGGCGCAGTGGCATTGCCCCTCAGATTTTTGCGATTTAAAGCTCTGCGTGGCACTGCAACTGTTATGGACAGGCGTGTAGCTTACCATCAGGCGCACGACTTGTTCGTCCCGTCAAATGATATTATATTAAAAAAAATCGCACTGGTTGGCACCGGCTCCTTTCAGAAGAAAAATGTAATTTAAAAAATTAGTTTTGCGTCCGTATTAAAGGCTATCACTGTTATATGATTCATTAATCGAGTTGGTTCCCCTTCCAAAATCCGAACACATACAGGATGTATGTAAAAAGACACTTAACGAGATTCTTCCCATCCCTATTTTCTTATCATCATATTGAGGGTCAAAGTGATCTTTTTTTTTTTTCGTGTTTTTTTACGATTTTTGTTTTGAAATGCTATTACTAAACTTTCTTCCAAACAAACTATTTTTTTTTCTTAAGAGCTCTCATGCCAAAAAAGTTTTGACGTTGGCTCCGCCCAAATTTGTGACACAAATATATGCCTGAAGTTCGCGTGACATGCGACAGGAGATGTTGAATTTTGCGCATTAAAAGTACCAAATTCGTTTAAGCGGAATAACTCTATAACTAAAGGGATTTAAAAAAATCCGTAGTGACAGTTGTCGATCATGCATAAATATAATTAATTATCTAATTTTTGTCCTAATAACCTGTAGCATTTCGAGGATGAATCGAAAAAATGTGAAAATTAGAGGTCATTTCGTGATTTTTATCTATCGAGGAAACTTTATTGTTTTATGTTTCTGATTAGTGTCTATGCTTGAATATATCGTGTAGTTACTCATACAATATTTTATTTTTAACTTTAAAGTGGATATACCCCTCTAAAATCAAATCGAAGATTAGGAATTTGTCCTCTGCTTCCTCTCAAATTTACGACGTGTTTGAAATTACAAAACTTTAATGTATATCGAACGCACACGTTATGCTACCGCCCAGCTATGCAATGCAATGTACGCACACAAACGAACGCATGTCAGTTGTACCACAGGCGTAGGCGGAAGGACGTGATTACACGCGAACGGTCATTTGTACACTTCTAAAAACTAAATAAACTTAACTACTGAATATTTTGTTTTGTCTTAATACAATTGCAATACAAAAAATTAGACAAACGAACCGAATGCGAGGTGTAGTATCGATCGATCGATCTCCGATAGAGGGGTTCGTGGCGGCACGCGCGGAGGCAATATTGAAAGCAAACAAATATCATTTTTTTAGTTGGATAGTGACGTTAATGAGGACGGATGGAGGTCACGTAAACTTACGTTTCGCGTTATGTAGTGTTTGTGTTTTCTGTGTGAGTGTTGAGTGATAAGAACTTAGTGCTCCCGACTGTGTTAACATGGTTTTATTTTACGGTATGACCCGTGAAAATGCCCCTGAGGCATTTCGATTTTACGTTTTGAACATCCGAGTGTAGTTCAGAGATCTATTCGCGACGTGGTTTCAGGAAATCCACGTTTGGAATGCGAACAGCAGCCAAAGTTCTACGAAGGTCATCTCGCTTAGTAAGTACATACTGAACGCAGGTTGCGCTTGAACACTCACACTCATGCACTCTGTTGCATGCATTACATTGCGCGTCATAAAAAAATAGCCGTATTTTAATACCTACAAACAAAAGTTGTTTCTCAGCAATTATTTTTGCTTCATGTTGCCTCCGTTTGAGTATATTTCGGCTTCGTTGAGGGTTTTTTTACACCCTGTGTATTATGAATATTAACACAATAAGTGATCTGATTAAAAGGTAACCACAGACTTATCAAGCAATAATGGGAAAGTTACAGCACGGTAGAGATCCAATATCAATACTTTTTCATAGAGGACTACTGTGCGTTGTGATAGGGTTTGGTTTTCAACATGTATTCCTAAATGAGCATTTTTCTTTTGCAAGTGTTTTTGACAGTTCTTTTTAATGAATAAATATACCTTCTTGTTGTTAGTGGGCGTGTCCTTCGGGGCTTGAGCGTTGTGGACTGTGATGTACATCTTGTGGCACTTGGGTTCGTGTCCGTTGGGCAGCAGGCGTCTGTTGTGTGCGAATAGGCTCGCGCTCACTTCGCGCGACGACAGCACCTTCCTATTGAGCCCGTCGCGTTGTCGCATGCACTCCACCAGCGTCTGTAATTAGGAGACGATCACGCCATTGCAACAATACCTTTTTCACTTCTCATGCTTTACACATTCACATTATATGCTCTAATGCATGAAATAAAAAAACCATCACATTAAATACGTCTAATTGTTGTAATCTTACATTCAATTTTAATGAAATACTTGTTTATTTGTAATATTGTTGTTTAATTTCCTCGCAATCGAAGTGAAAAGCAGAGTGTATATATAACTCGTTAATAAAACCCATTTTACACTCGACTTTATACTCGCCTCGTGTAAAATGACGCGTTTTATGCACTTGTTGTACAATCTACTATTTGTAGCTCGTCAACTATCATCAATGTCAATTGTTTCTGCATATCACATTACAAATTTAAGATGGAACATTAATTGCCGTACACATGTGACACCCTGCAAGGGCATGGCAACGTCAGATGGGTAAGTTATCACATTATAAAATCTTACTTTACAATATATCGTAACATTTAATTATTATTATCATATTATTCTTCTTTGGTGATAAATGTGTTAACCATTTCTACGTTACTACAGCACGAAAGACACCCTGAATTTGTACGGACAGTTGACGTTAGCGACGGCGTCAAATATGTGTATACAAAATGTTACTTCTTCTTTTGACTACTATGGGCACTGTGCGAATTGCAAGCTAAGACTAACTGCCCTACCTACAGAGCAATAAATACAGTACAAGTGGTTAGTTAGCGTCGCACGCGTGCCAAAGGTAGTCCTAGTTGGGTCTACTTGAGCTCAGTTCGCCATTTCCCCTTTGTACGGTATGGTTGTGTCATTTCTGTGGTGCAAATTCTCAAAAATCGTAGAAAACTGCCTCATTGCGATGTTTTGTGCAAAAATTATAGCCGCATCAAGAATATTACCCGAAATATTAAAATAAAACTTACCGATGATATGAAATACCACCATATATCATATCATCAGTGGTTTTATTTTAAATTTTCTGTTTATCAAATTCGTTTTTTGAACAAATGAAAGTTTTAGCTGCCTCCGTGGCCGGACAATTACCATGCCGGGGTGCCACCTAGGGGTCCCAGGTTCGATTTCCGGGCCGGGAGAAATATTTGTATGGCCTACATTTATTTCTCTCGTGAGTGTGGGTGTAATTTGTGGTTGTCTATGTATGTGTTATAAAGTAAACATTATCCCAGAGCAACATGGTCGAGTTTTATCTTTTGGAGAACTAAGTAAACATCTAGAATTTTCCACATAGAAAAAGATAGAGTGCAGTGGAGAAGATTGATTGATGGTGTACTTGCTCAAAATCACGATCCTCAGCAGTGAGCTACCAAAGGGTGGAGGAGGGGAACATAATATTGATCTCGAGGTATGAGACCCACCGGGGAATCACTGGATTAATTTGTTAAACGATATTTTTGTAAATTGTATCTAGTCTTCTGGAGTGAAAGCCGTTGCTCTCGTAGATATAGTACAGGGAATTCCTTTTTTTATGGTTATCTAACTGGTGTGGTTGTGCACATTATTATTATAATAAAATAGTTTAACAAACACAAATTACCTGGTGTTCCCGACCTTCAGTGACAAGTATGTACACCTGGCCGCTTCGTTCTCGCCCTGTACGACCGCATCTGTAATAATAATTGATTGATAATTGTGCTATATTAGTGCATAAGAATAAGTTTAAAGAAGTTACGGTAGTACATTTATGAAAATATAATTTGTGTCAAGAAGAATAGTAATGTTTTCGCGAAAAACTAGGGATAGATTTCATATTAAGAGGAATGAAAAAAAATCCACTAAGTCACAAATTATTTTAAAAATGTGTACAAATGTTTATTTACAAAAGGCAATTACTAAAGTTTTTTTGCTCACTACCCACTTAGGCAAGATAAAACAATTTCAATGCCACAATAAAAAAATTTAAAATACGTATTTTAATGTTCATAGTGTAGTTTGTTAGAGCTAATTTAGATTTTTTTTCAAATGCGGTAGCACCACGCGGACAGCATCAACGCTCCCCCATTAATCGCTTCCGAGACTCCTGTCGCCCCCCTAGGACTTTTCAGCGCCCACTGGGGCGGCAGGGACCCCTTGGAAGGAAGCTATGTCCTAGCGTTTCTTGCTCGTTCTTCTCAGAAAAAAGTGTTAATGTGAAGAAATATTTAAGAAGAATTAGGAGCCACCTCTGCACCAGGCGCACGGGCGAGGCGGTGGCCACGTCGAAGCAGACGATGAGGTCCACGGCGCCCACGTCCAGCCCCTCCTCGGCCACGCACGTGGCCACCAGCGCGGTGCAGGCGCCCGCGCGGAAGGCGCGCATGGCGCGCAGCTGCTGCTTCTGCGACGCCGCCACGCGGCCCTCCTTGCCTACGGTGGGCGTCATACTTTACTCAAACAAGGAAATTCTCTCCAACGGTCGCCGATGCACTATCGGCACACGCACTTTTTGTAATATGTTTTTCTCAAACATGCTCGGAAATTTTTGCATTGCTTTCAAAAAACGAACACGGAAACTTAGTCATATAAGGACCATGCGACTTTTTCCCGGCCAAGGCCTGCAAAGTAAGTACATGAAAAGCATTGACTTACAAATAAATGGACGACGGGTCTAATACAAAAACCACGAAAAAAATGTCCCAAGTCAACCTATTTAAACGTAGTGACATGTAAAGGAATATGAAAAAGCTAAAACGTTGAATTTGAATTGTAATGTCATCGCAGTACTGTCTAATTTTGCTTGCTTCGCTGTCAGTCGAACAAACGAAGACTAAAGCGTGAATGACGCTCTGTATACGATTTTAACGCCCTATAATTTCGGACACTTTTTAGCGCGGACCCGACGTCCATATAATTGTAAGTCAATGATGAAAAGACATTATTATCCTCTTTTCGAAACTTTTAAATCTACCTACTAAAAATGAACTATGTAAACAGGCAAAAGAAAAACTCATACAGCCAACTGCCCAGTGTTCATAACTGCGAGAATTAAAAAAAAAGAAAATGGCGGTAACATTTAGATTAAAGTGCTTTGGTGTTCTTTTGTTTTGTCGTCTTTGTATTTTGGTCGCGAAAATGAGTGCTAGAGAGAAGAGCAATAACGAAAATACAGTAATAGACAAATTCAAACACATCATCAGAAGTCCAGCAGACTACTATTAATGTGCCTGGAAAAACAATAACATTTTCTTTTAGCAATTTTAATGTTAGTTAATATTTTTTTACTTTTTCTATTATGCATCATCCTCTCTTTACTCTTTTATTATTTCCTCGCATTGTTTGAGAAAAATACTATACATGTCTCAGCGGGAACGGGGATTGCTTGACTCGTAAACCTATCACGAACTCGAATTTCGTTTTTCCGAATTTCATTACTACGAAAACGGTTCCATTTTTTTTCATTAGTGCGATGACAGTTTTGGTATAAATTTACAACACAGAAATGTCTTACAGCAGAAGTACCGTTTGTCCGAAAACCTATTATTAGAATAATTATTACGTATTCTTCGGCCAGAAGGTTGTTTGGTCTAATCATGTTTGTTATACTGTCTGTTTTCCATATAATTTAGATTGCTGAAAATTTGTTTCCACAAAATTATTATTCTTAGATAAAATTGTACCGCCATACAATTTTACCGTACAGCTCCAAAATTCTGTTCACTTACGTAATTTTCGTCATACCTGTGCTATGTTTTTGCTGTCATCTGAAATATAATTTAAAAACAATGGTCTTGAGTATTCAATAAATAACTTATAACTTAATCGAGGAGAGTACCAGAACCGAATTTGTTTGCATTACCTAGATAGGTCGACTCCCTCTTGTGGGTTTAGATTAAGTTAGCATATGAAAAAACCGCTCGTGCCGAGCGAGCGAAGCGAGCATACCGCGGCAGCGGCCGGCGAGTGCCAGAGCCGAATTTGTTTGCATTACATAGACGGTACGACCCCCTGCTGTAGGCTTAGGTTAGTTTAGTTAATGAAAAAGCAGCACGATCCGAACGAGGGTAGCGAGCTTAACTAGCATCTCGTTTATCATATTTTCTAAAGATGCGAGGTTCTTTAATTTGACGAGTTATATTGTGCAACATGTTCTAATACTTTTAATATCTGTAATAAGAAATAATATATGTAATAAAAATGTATCATGGATATCGGTTTTTTACAAAATAAAAATATTGAATTAGATACATTGGTCAAACAGTTTGTTGGGGAAATAAAAAATCGGGAAAAGAACTTGTCAATATGTCAAAATAGTGAAACATTAAATGGTGAAACGAAAAAACCTGTCACGTGTTTTCGGACAAATGAAACATAATTTATTCAACAAAAATCTAAAGGTTTTCGGAGAAACAAAATTCTGTAAATCATGTTTCTAGCTTGTGACAGTATAACCAATACAAGGCCTCGCTGGCGCTCGTCCTTGTAACTCATACTGGTCCAGCAATCCCTTACTTCCCGGCCTCTGGAATAATGTACTATTAACTAATTAAATCGCAGCCAAATAACGTATTACGTTCTTCATTTTCATCAATCAACAAAGTTCATAACGCCACAGCATTTGTAATTATTTCGAGCAATTATGTTTTTCGTGCCTACTCAAAAGTTCACATCAATGCAGGTTACGGGGTTTACAAATTTAGCCAATGAATAACAAACCAAATGGCAAGGTTAATAACCTTCATCTTTAAAGTACGTCTGAAATAGTTACGAACCTGCAGTACCCTGTCCGACGAACATCTGCGGCACGATGAGCGGCCGGCACTGCAGCAGCAGGCAGTGCACCAAGTTCACGCTTTCGCGGTACTCGCAGAACACTGCAATAACAACAAATAACAAATCATCACTTTTACTCAAAAGAACAATGGCGAACTTCCATATCAATTTGTATTGACATAATTTGTATGCGTCTGTCTATAAAAAATATGAAAAAATTTGGTTTTGAGTTTACTATTCTGAGAAGACTGGAATTAAAGAAAATTCCAGTTTGAAGTTTTGGAGGTTATATTTTACATAATTGAATAAAATCTATTTGGTGTATTATTATATCAAAATAAACTACAGAAGTGTTAAACAGAGTTAATAGAAGCTCAATGGTGCCGTGGGTTTGTGACGGTACCCTATCATAAAGTCGAAAATTTTTTTACTCCGAAATAACTTTTGTTCGAATTTTCATTACACCGAAAACCGAATTATAACGAAATAGTTCTTCTCTCAGGATACGTTGAATGTTTATCGCAAAGACAGGATTAGGTTCGGTTAGGGTAGGTTAAGTTTAGACCTTACTTCATAGGATCAAGGTTTAAAAGAAAAGAAAAAAACCTTTTCCTCTCAAAACTACTATCGAAGTTATGAAATTTCGACCAAACGTTATTTCTGGAAAATGTCATTTTGGACTGCTGATAGGTTACCGTTTGTGACGTGACGAAAGTTCAGAAGAAAATATTTTTGGTTAAAAGGTCAAAAGACATGAAGTTAACAAAAGAAAACTGAGTACATTTCATACTATGCCCTGGCAATTCAGGTATAAATTATTTTTTGTGAAACATGCCATCTATCCCTGTCATCGGGAACTTTTTCGTCAGTTTTACTATTTCCTCGCATGGCATATTTGGAGAAAGAATCATCTACTTTATTTTTAGTACCTAATAAAGTTAAGTAGTTAATCTCTTATTGCAAATCTGTCGAATTAGTACATTTCATATTACATGAACTAACTTAGTGTGGACCAATCTATATGTAGGTATTGAACATCTATTTTTGGCGGTTAGATGTCGGTCAATGTAAAAAACAAAAACTTATATAGTTACATATAGTTATTTGAGTTCCATTTAAAGATTTTATTTCCAGGCTTAGACAGGCCTTTAGTATAATTTGTTTAAGTATACTTGCTTACATATGAAATAAAGATATGGTGCACGGATTTTGAACTACTTACTATTCAAACTAACCTGTTACTTTGTGACAGGAATCTCTTACTTGGAACCTGGCAAGGTTTCTTTGGATAGCTAAGCTCATTCTTTGGTGGTGATGTTGCCAGTTTTGGGCAATTAAGGAAGCGAATTGAAAGCTAGTTTGCACCGCAAAACATATTTGAATTAATAACAAGTTAACAATGGGTTATACTTCTATTCTATGATTTCACTCCAACAACATCGGCCTCTTTCTAATTCTGGTATATTATAAATAAATAAATAACGATAAATAGAATGTTTTTTTAGTTTAGTCATAATATGGAAACCATGGAAGCGGCAATATTTATTTTAAACAATTTTTACCGATTGCTCTGGTATCTTGATTATTCATTTTAGCCTTGTGGAAATGGTCCAACATGATTTCTTTCAATTTGTTGAACTTTGGATGCCCAAAACTAAGGTTCTTTGGAATCTGAAAACGTAAGAATACATGATTGAATGTTAAAATAAAAATAAAAAAATTATTGTTTTAATTATTAATACAAAGATCGAACACTCAGAAAAAAATCCTTTGATCCGGCCGGATTCCAGCATTGCCAAATATACCTATAATTATTATGTTTTGTCAAGTCTTTAAATTTTAAAGCTTGAAAACGTTCCAAATCAAAGTACTTTTTGTATTTCAAAAAGTTACCAACGAGAAACCCACCTCTGGTACAGTTCCGTCAGGCAATATACTCCTATCTAATGACAGCGGGTTAATTCCAAGATCATCTCTCAATCTCTCTAAAAGTGCCGTAAGTCTATCATCGGACTGAATCCATGACTTCTCCGGGTGCTCGTCGAAGAAGTTGAGGAACACTCTGGAGCCGTGCTTCGTGAGCAGCTCCAACCCGTGGTAGAGGGCGATTAGGAGGGTGAAGTCCTTCATTATATAGTTGTGTTGGGGGTGCCTGTGTGTGGTGTGAAATATCCATTACTTTATTTATTATTTCTAAAATATTATTAAATAATATCATTATTGAATAATAAAAAAGTGATATTTTCTTTTCAAACTGACCTGGCACTCCGATCCTTGTTCTGGAACTCCTTATATAGCATAACAATCCTGCCCTTTGACAAGTTACCAAGATTGTACGGCAGGATGTTCATCTGCTTGAGTCTGCGCGCGTAGACGTCTAAGATCTACAAAGAGTATTTACTGCAAAGCTCATCCTTCATTGGTCTGCGTACTTTCAAAGCATAAACCAGTCAATGTTAATACAGGCTTTACGCAGACATTTACGAAATTATGTTATGAAGAAGCTTCAAGATGAGATAGAAAAACGCTTTTAACCATCGACTATATAACCAGAAATAAGGGCCATCCCTGGATGAGTTCATCAGGCATATGGGCCTTATATCACTTAAATATCAACTCTCGTTTGCACTGAAATTACCAATTAGAAAGCTGAAATAGTACAGCGCCAACAACTGATCTGTGTGTACGTCTCCGTATATTCAAAAATGTTCTGTATTTATTGTAATAAAGATAAGATCTCTAACAATGGGGGCAAATTCGGTGGTGTGGGGAAAAACAGCAAAACGTGTAATTCCAAAACGGAGTCACATTTCATCGGTAATTAAATATTAAATATGTAATTTTGCAATTTTCGGCCATTATAGCAAAGCCTAAGTTAAACTGGTCGATTTGGAGTGAAACAGTAGACGAGACCCGTCAATTGTTTCGAATTCGGGCTGGCCAAGCGGAGCGCAGTTGTCACAATAATTATTTGGCAGAATAGTTTTCAAACAAATTAAATGACATTTCGTCTCTATTTCTGGTTATATACTCGATGCTTTCAACCGATTGGTTGATCACCCTCCTATCATTTATGGGACGCGAGAGGAGAATGTTTGGTGCATTTCGTTCTCTCCCCGTGCCCCGCAAAACTTTGCACGTGGAATATAATAAAGCATTTAAAATGCCGGTAGGACTGCCAAGCTGGTTCAATGCATCGAGTATGTTTACGGTAGCTCGCACGGACAGCCTCCAGGCCATTATGCGAAAAAAAATTGTCTCCCAAAGTCGTTTGAGGCAAAGTCTTAGGACTTCCTAATTCAGCATTCCTAATCTTATCGCCGATGGTTATGATTGTTCTGTATATTGGAAAGAGGAACTCATGGGAGTAGCCCAATTTATAATATAATTACGTTAACTTTTTTTTTACTGCCTAGTGACGGGACGAACAAGTCGTGCGCCTGATGGTAAGCGACACGTTTGTCCATAACAGTTGCAGTGCCACACAGAGATTTAAACCGCAAAGATAGGAGGGGCAAGTGCACCCGTCACCCTGAGACATAAGTGGATAAGTCCCTTGCGCCTGTAAGTTTACCAGCATGCCCCTTGAAAACCGGAACGCAGAAATAGGTAAGGTGGCAGTACTTTCCTGGACGAACTCTTTCACAAGGATCTCCAATGCTACTAAAAATTGTCCTGCAATGTTTTTCTACTAATCTTGTTTTAACTTTTGCAAATATACTATGGATATGTTATGGTCCGAATAATAATAATAATAAAATGCTGCTTTTCAAGAGCAATGACTCAATACAAAATTCACCCTTTTTTTACTTATTACTGAGATTTATTCACAAAATACTAAATTTTATTGTGATTCCAAATTTTTCATTGGTTAATTACATGACAACATTGGGATGGTCTACGATTCGGCAACATTGAACGCCAGACGCTTCTCAGTTTTCTTAAGCTGTGTCCCTGACGAATTCGATGGGCCACAATTGTATATGAACTATTCTATAGACATTGTGGGAGACCGATGCCTAAACTATGCTTTGAAGCTTGTATTTCAAATTATCATAATATTATTTAGAATATTATAATATTTTTATAAAAAAAATCGACCTTAAAAGTTCGTGAAATTACATCTATTTGCCAAGTTATATTGAAATCGGTTAACGGAAAGTGCGCAAAACTGGAGTCATCCCTTAGTTTATCACCTTTAGAGGTGGAAATTTTTCTTCAAATTAAATGGGACCAAAACTGAGGTACCTCCATCCAACAAAAAAAGAACAGTCGAATTGAAAACCTCCTCCTTTCGGTTAAAAAAGAATTATTATCATTATTACATGTATCACACTTTACCTCAATATACTGTTGCCTCAGTTGCGACAGCTCTGGTCCTAACTGCACTAGGACAGTGTTTATTCGCCGTGAGTGGCTGTATGGTGCCACGTCAATACAGCTCTCTGTACGCAGTTCTAGGTGTGCGATGTGTAAGTTTTTTATCACCTAAAACAATTACAGATGTAAATTAGATTTAGAAGTCCGAGGGAAAGGTCTTTTCCCAGCTGTGGACAATAATGCAGGCTACCTTAAAAATATATATTGCACAGTGTATATTTATATAATACAATAGTGTATATTTTTCAGAATTGATGAAAAACGAATTACTCACTTCGCGTGAAAAATATTTATAATTGATCTATAGGTTAAAGTTTTTTTACAGACATCTAATCAATTTTCTACTCGCCAAATATATTTGAAAATAAAAGGGAAAAAATAATTTCATATTTTTGAGTAAGGACAGTTTTGTCCAGAACTACAAGTTTGACTCATATCGAGCTAAGCGGAGATCTTATTTCTTACTATATATCAACGACGTTCTTATTGACGAGCAGAGAATCAAATATTACATTCAGCAATAATGTGATCTTGAATTTTACATATTTTGAATTGCAACACTATTGTAATAGCAGTGCGACATATTTTAGGAAGTACAGTGTCGTAAGACGGGTGGTAACGGCACAATGGAGCGTGCTGATGTCAACCTTAATGGAAACGGTTGTTAATGTTGGGTGTGGCAGATGTAGGAAAATGCTGTACAAAAAGGATTGTGCAGTATGTGTGATGGTGAAAGATTAAGTTTTAATTTCTATATAGCATGCAAAAGCCCATGCACACGGCGTATTTTACGCGCGCATTTTGATAAGAGATAGTTTTCATTTTAGATTTGTTTGTTAGTTTCAGTTAGTTTTTGAAATGAAGCACGCAGATGACGCGCGTGTAAAATACGTGTGCACAGACTTTAAGAGTAAATCAGATCTACACTCCAGACACCAATAGATGAAGTGCATGACTATAGCAATAACAAACGTAATTGCTCTGATATTGTTAACAATATATCATACAAAGTCCCAAACAAAATTTATATGCGTTCATCACAAACTCGTCACCTGGTTGAAAAATATACACACATCAAAAGTGTCTAGGGATCAAGTACGTTTAAGAGTATTGCTGCAATTAGGGTTAATTATATTAACTTTTTTGTATCGCTATTGATACTTTTTTTGTGAGTTTTAACATTTAAATAAGGAATATTGTTTAAAATTCGATAATAAGAAGAAATTTTTTTTTTTTTTTTTTTTTATTGTGACTCGGCAAAATGACTGCACCGCGCCTGATGGAAAGTGCGAATACAGTCCAGAGATGAGAGTAACGGATGGAAAACACAAATATCTTCACTCCGTCACTATCATTTTGCCGGTCTGGCCAAATGCTTCTTCACACTACGTTTGAAGGACCCGATGTTATAGAGGGGAGGGAATACATGCGCCGGATCGATTGTCAATGTGGTTTTGTATACAATCATTACAATATCTGCATCGGAACCGAAACAATTTACATTATTATGGAGAGACGACATCATTTAACCCGAGAAGTGATGATGCGAGCCGTCGGAATGTTGGAAGCTGGTTCCAGGCAACGTGCTGTGGCTTTCACTCTTAACACTACACAGAGCGTCATAAGTCGCCTCTGGACGCGCTATCGCATGACGGGCAGCGTGGCCGAGCGACATGGAGGACGATCTCGCATCACGACTCGCAGACAGGACCGGTATATCCAAAATACTGCTCGACGGAATCGTACCATGACCGCCATGATGTTGGTTACGAGGCTCCACAGCTCCTCAGGCTTGCTAATAAGCGATCAAACAATCCGAAATCGTTTACGTGAAGTGGGTCTGCGATCCCGAAGGCCGCTCAGAGTTCCACCTATTGCACCCTGCAATCGCAGGACCCGTTTACGATGGGCTCGCGAACACAGAAACTGGGAGGAAGAAGACTGGCGCTATGTGTGCTTTTCGGATGAATCCCGCTTCGGTATGAGACCGGATACAAGACGTACTCGAGTTTGGAGAACATCTGGACGTCATGAACGTTTGAGATATTGTCAGGAAGTTCATCCATATGGTGGGGGAACAATAATGATATGGGCCGGTATTTGGATCGGCGGAAGAACCGATCTCATTTGGATCAGGGGTAACCTCAATGCTCAAGTTTACGCAGAGAGGATTGTTTCAGATGTTATCATCCCTTTGCGAGGCCAGTTGGGTGATTCATTTCAACTAATGCATGACAACGCACGTCCACACACGGCTAGAGTCGTAACACGCATTCTTGCCGAAGCTCGTATCGACGTTCTGCCGTGGCCTGCTCAATCGCCAGACCTCAATCCAATTGAGCACGCATGGGATATGCTTCAAAGAAGAGCTGTGCCGAGTATGCATACCGTACATACTCTACAACAATATTTTGACTTGTTACAAAACACATGGGCGGCCATTCCTCAAAGTGATTTTGATGAACTCATCTTAAGCATGCCAAATCGCTGTAATTGTGTGATTCGTGTTAATGGTGGAAATACAGATTATTAATTTTCTTATCTTTACAATAAAAATGAGCAACATCATCATTGTCGCCATTTTTTTGTCATTTAATTGACGCCGTTAATTTGAGTTTTTTCCCACAATTTGCAAAAACATCAATTTTAGTTTATTTTAATTAAATATAGGGGTAAGCGGTTAAATAAAACATAAGAATTAAAGTAAGAAGTCGTCCTGGAAGACTGGATTTGGTAAATATTGCTTAAATAATTTTTATTTCAAAAATATTCACTTGATCCCTAGACACTTTTGATGTGTGTAGTTCTTTTTTTAGAACAAAATCAAACCAGCAGAAGTTGCCCAAATTTATTTTAAATGTTATTCATTCAATTTGTTAACTCGACAGACGTAACGTTTTAAATGATCTCTATCGTGCACTATCCAGGTACGGTGTGGTTCTTACGACAGTTTCCCTACATCTTCTCTGGTTTTGGGATTTTCCATACTATCCCAATTTAAAAAACCCCACACTGTATAGTACCGTTCTGTCGGTTCACTATCAAAATTTCATTATCAAAATAAAAAAAAAATAACTCACAGTAATAACATCATCAACTTTACTCCCCGGAGTGGCAGACAAAGCGAGCACCCTATAAGTCTTGCATCCCATATCATCCAAGGTCGCTACAATCTGGCAATAGGCATAGTTCCCTCTCGCTCTGTGTGCCTCATCAATGACGAGACAGCGAATCTTGTCGGCTGGGCAAATGCCCGATTTAATATCGTTGTATATAACTTGAGGTGTTGCAAAGAAAACGCGTTTAGTTTGCCAGTGCGTTTTTCTTGTGTTCACTTGCATGTGCCCTTAGAGAAATAATAAAATACGCATAATATCTGTATAAAATAATTTCAATTTATATGTACAGGTACGAAAATAAGTATAGCTTTACTGTGCCCAGTTAAACATTAAGCAAACAAATATATTGAAGGTATTCTCTATTTACTAACATGCATTGTACAATGTAGTTAAATAATGTATGGCAGATTTAAAAAGTATATGACAAAGTACAATAATAAAGATACGTTTTTTTTTTTACATTTTGTTGGTTCATTCCGAGATGAAGCAAGCAACTTTTTGAAACTCTTTTAATGCAGTATTGCTTTGTTTTAGGGCAGTATTACTTTGTTTTAGGGATATGGTATAAAACTATCTAGCTGACCGACACCCCCTTGTTGGTTTGCTAAGCACAAAATAAAGAAACCGGTCTAATCAGTCACATTGCACTGAATAAGTTGGCATTTATGATGGACAAAGCTGATATATATGTTACGCGATAACTCCGCCATTGGTGAACCGATTTTGATGATTCTTTCTTGTTGGAAAGAGGGTACCTCAATAGTGGTCCCATTTAATTTTGAAGAAAATCATCCGTTTATAAGGGTGGCTGTTCACGCATGAAGATTCATTTTTATAAATAGCGCCTAAATTTTATTATAAGGAGCAATTATTTTAATGGTTGATTTTGCTATTCTCCAATTCAAGGTGTTTTTTTCTTTCAATACACTTTGAGTAGTGAGAACCGATTTTTATTATCCCCTGTGTCAAGTTCCGTATAGTGGCGAACTAGGCGATGAATCCGGTTTTGGGCACTTTCCGGTAACCGATTTTATAAAACTTGGCAAATACATGTAAGAAATGAAATTATTTTTCCGGATTTAAATCGCGTATATTTATTTCTTCAAACAAACCGATGTTTCGGGCCCTTTACAGGTCCCATGGTCTCAGTCAACCGTGACGTATATTTGTACGCGATTTAAATTCGGAAAAATAGTTTCATTTCTTATGTTTAACAATCGCGAAAACCTAAGAACTCGATAAATACATCCCAAGTATTTTTGAGGTCTGTCTTTTTAGTACTCTGTAGTGAGATTATTATAATGTCAAGTGACGGGACGAACAAGTCGTGCGCCTGATGGTAAGCTGCACACAACACACCTGCCCAGAACAGTTGCAGTGCCACTCAGAGCTTTAAATCGTAAAAATCTGCGGAGCACTGCCACTGTGCCTGTAATATCACCAGCACCTTTACCCTTCAAAATATAATGCTGTATAATGCAAAGGATTCTGGACTTAAGAACAGACAAAAGTAATTATTTCAGTATCCTATCATTAGTCCGAAATGACATTTTCCAGAAATAACGTTTGCTTGAATTTTCATAATCTCGGAAGTAATTTTGGGAGGAAAATGTTTTTCCTTTAGACCTAACTTAACCTAACCTAACCGAACCTAATCGCGTCTTTGCGATAAAAATCCAACACGTACTGAAAGGAGAACGGTTTCGTTATAATTCGTTTTTCGGTGAAATGAAAATTCATACAAACGATATTTCGGAAAAACAATTCGAGTTTGTGATAGGTTACCATTTCAGTTCTGCAACCTTATTGTTGTGTGTGTCATTAGTCATTACGAAGGCGACATGTTCATTGGAACAACTTTGATCAACAAAGATTTAAAAAAACTTCCTTTTAAAAATAAAATAATGTAACCATGAAACAAATGTCCTATCTACAATATTTAAAGTACTTTCTCTCTACGTCTCATAGCCATATGTCATATAGGATGCACTGTATATAATTAACAAAGAATAATGATGAATGTATAAGATGTTTTTTGTGATTACTACAACATAAGAATATTGAATTTACTTTCGTTAATATGACATAAAAATTGATTTTGTTAATCAAAGCTGGGTCTTAGGATAAATATACACTTACCAGTCATCTCTATTGTATCATTAGGAGGCACAGCCACAATATTGTAACAAGCATCGATTTGTTGAGCCACAAGTGGCCGAGTAGGTGCTGTGAAAATAATCTTGCCCAAAGGGTACCAGCGGTAGAAGTTATACATTATTACCGCTGCTATGAACGTTTTGCCCAGACCTGTTGGGAGACTGACCTGTAATAAATATTTTGACGTTAGAGAACACATCTAGGGAAATAGGATAGAGATTTCTTTTATTGGGAACATCTTCCAGCAATCAATGTATGGTTTTTATAATCTATCAAAATTTTACTGTGCACTAATTGAAAGCAAATGGAACACAAATGCATACTATCACATTTCTATCTCGGGTTTTATGTTAATAAACCTAATATTAGTTTCAACTTCATGTATCTCATGCGCCAGTTGTCTCTGAGAAGCAAATTAAGTTCCCTCCTGAATTTATATTTGCTTCAGTGTTAAAAGCAACACAAATGGACAAAATCCTATAGTGCTTTAATTTATTTTTCTTTTTTTTAATAGCCCGCACTCAGGAAACCCTGTACAGCGGGTGCCATGGACACACACTTGGACAACCACAAATTACACCCAAAGTCACGAGAAAAATAAATGCAACAATCGCGAAAACCACATGTTGCACATAGGAAATAAAATTTTGTTAATAAACAAATATACGCGATTAAATTAGGAAAAATAGTTTCATTTCCTAAATGTAAACCATACAAATATTTCACCTGGCCCGGGAATCGAACCCGGGACCTCTGCATGGCAGCCGTTCGACTGCATAGGCAGTTAAATTTGTAGCTATAGGTTCTAACATTAAGTAATGTTTATCACAATGGATTAAATCACTGGTCACAGTTGCGGAGACCCTAGAAAACAACTCAACAGAGGTGATGTACGACATGTTTACATTAAGTCCCCATTGTTTCCATACTATCCGTGACAGTTAAAAGGGATATCAATTTGATATGGAAATGGGGCTTAACTATATATATATCATCGATCTGACGATTCCAAGGATTGTCAAACTGATAAGGGGTCACAGCCTACTGTAAGACATACTTACATACTATCATGTCTGTCTCCTATGGAGGCTAAGCATAACATAAGCAAAAGCATGAACGCCTTTTTCACATCAATCTTTTCATAAGTGCCCGATTATTCTATGCATTTTGTCCTGGCCTGTTTATGTTCATATAAAGTAAAAATATACTTACAAGGGTATTCTTCAAAATAGCAGATTTGATTATGTTGAACTGATAATCCCTGACAGGGTAGTTGGTTGGATAGATCCATGTCTCCCCTGTGACCTTGTCATACCCACTGATCTCCTCGTCACAGCATAGAGCACTGAATAAAAATTAACTTAAGTTCAGAGTTGATGTCAATGTAAAAGTTAGCTTTCTCAGTAGTTTTGCAGACTTATACTTAGACTTATAGACTATGTCACGAGTAAGAATGAGAATCCATTAGGAAGTAATTGTGACACCCACGAGGAAGGTCTATTGCATGTTGAAGGTTGTAAATTGTTTTTAAGTTGTAAATTACAATGGTATTTACATGTCGTTACTGTTCAAGAAAATGGCCCCGACATAAATATGTAGTTCACTATTACATACGGATGTAGTTTAAAAATTGACCCAATCCACAACTACTCACTTTCGAGATATGGCAGTTTAAAGTTTAAAAGTGTTTCTCATTTTTGTTTTATTTTCAAAACTTATAATGTCATGTAATTCCGGAGATATTTATTTATATGTTGGATTTTTTTGCTGATCTAAGACGTTAGACTTTAGGAACCATTTGCTTACCTCATTTTTTGACAATTTTGGGGATTGGATCCTTTTTGCTTAACTATGTCCATACTATACTGCATTTAAGACTATGTGCTCAAGGTTTGTTGTGAATAAGTGTAAATAATATCATGTGACAAAAATTCGTCCTGGGGCCTTACCATGAACTCTTATTACAGTTCAGTATAGGTTCGTGACGACAAAAAAGCGGGATGGTGATATATACTTCATGTAGCGCTGTCTCACAACAATTAAATTTAGGTCTTAAACTGAATCGCTCAGTTCATGGTAAGGCCCCTGAACATGGTTTACAGTTATACCCAGGGGGTCTATTCCCATTCTCCGTACAAAACAATGACTGTGAAATAAGTAACACTTGACTAACTCAAAAGACAATGTCTAGTAAGAAGCTTCATACGCATCATGCATTTTTTAATTTGATCGAGTATTACTTATTGACAATAACTGTTTCGGACAGACAATGGGAGTAGACCCCCAGACACGCATCACATATTTCTCATAAATTAGGTGCTTTTATGGTCAGACTGAAAGCGAAAGGGGCACTAAGAAACCAGGACTTAAACAAATTTGATTCATTCCTTAATTTGCAGCTTCGCTCCTCACTAACCAAAATTGGCCCTAAATTTTGAGTATCCGAAAAAAGATATTTTCCGGTGTAACTTTTTTCGACATTATCGGCCTCACAAGCAAAGCGAGAAGATTAAAGTGTTTATTTAAAACCATTTGTTTAGGTATAATCTACTCGAAACAAGATTTAAAAACAACACAATTCCAAGTCTCTTTTATATTTTGTTTTCATAGTGTCGTTTACGCAGTCCAATCGCTTTTATGATAAGCCGCAAGAATAACATCGGCATGTAACATTGTTCTGTGACAGGTTAGAACTTGATAGATAAAGTAGAAAGTAATGGAAAGAAGTGAAAGAATTTACCTGACATTAAGCCCACTTTTATTAAGAGAATTGTTTACGTTATTCTCAAAAGCTTTCGACGTTTTGTCCCTGAACGAGGAATTGTCAAAATTTGCAAGAATTGAAGAATCTTCAAATATCTCGTCATCTTCGAAAACAACATTTTCTTTTGATGTGCTGGGGTTATTACTCATTTCCACTACCTCATATTACTGTGTTTGAGCGGAAAATTCGTTTTATTGAATAAATAATTATAGGTAATACAAAAATAAGAAATAAAGGAACGAAACATAAACAAATTTTGAGGTTAGTGAAGTTCAAAAACTTACTGACTCAATAGATAACATATCATTATTATCAACGATTCTGGAAGTGTTGATTAAAAGAGAGACAGAGTATAATATTATGTACTCCATATTTAAATGCAAAAATTAAATGAATGTGAATTTGTGAAGTTTAACTTCTGAAAATTCCAAAATGAAATCAATTTTTAATGATACATCAGTTAATCGAATTAAGTCCCAGAACATATCTGTCACATTTTATCGAAGGGTAAATTCGTTACATTTTGATATTCGCCGTCATATGTTTTGATCGAAACGATCACTCACATTTTGAGCACGTTGTATGCAGTTTTAATATATCAAAAAGAGAAAGCGTTATACAAATATGATATGTTCTCTCTCCGTCGCCTATTTTGCTTCAGTGATATACAATGACATTGACGTAAAATTAAAATATTGCATTTTTAACCTTGCTGCAAATGAAAACTTCGAACTTTTGAAATTCGTAACAATTTTATTACAGGTTTTAGCAAATAATTAGAAAAGCGTTTGCATAATGGAGTTAGACGATGGCCTAGATGATTTGCTGGCTCAAATCGATGAACCGTCGATCTCCAAAACGAATCAAAACCCAATTTCAGAAGAGCCCGGTAAAAGCAAAATTTTCTTAATTTTTTAAACACAAAATCTTTTTTTTTTCCATAGAAAATGGGATGTTTTATGGAAATAATATGTCAGTAATAAATTATTCCATAATATTGTAATTTCATTTTATGACGTTTTTTTACCATAAATATTTATTTGTGAATTTATACAAAAATATTACAAAAATGGTTGTTGGTTTGTAGGTACATCACAGGAGGTAGGCGGGTCAAAACCCTCGTCGTCAAAAACTCATTGTGTCCTTGTTAATCAGAAGCAGGTTAGTATAGAGTAAATACTTTGTGTACAGTCTGTCTGTACAAAAACGAAGTTGTATTATGCTGTTGAGTCCAGGGTTCGGTCAAAACCTTCATCTTTATTTGTGTCAAAGAAAGTTGGTCTAATTTTGAATGTTTGTCAGTTAACTCACTGGATTTGTGGCCAGTCAGTCTGCTGGTCACCCATGGAGGCTGGACTGAACACCTCTTATGTGTTTTATTCATCAAATGTAAGCTGTAAATATGTTAGCATGGCTTGCTTTGTGATAACTAATAAGTTATTATAAATATTATATTTTCAGAGGATATAAGTGCTATTTCCAAAATATTTAGCAAGTGCTTACAAGTTCTTCCCTTAAAATGTTAAATAAGCACAAAATGTATCACTATGGATTTTAATTTTAATATTTGGTTTTCCTTGTACTTTAAAACAGACAATAGTAATTTCCATGGCATTTTAATTTCAAGTTCAAGGAGGACATCTTAACAAAAAGCCATGCCAATAGTGCCCTTAACCGATGGACATGTTTGAAAGCACAGTTGGTGGGGTAAAGGATGTATATTAGAATCAAACAAGTGGAAAGCTGTTGTATCTGCCTAGCCCAATGGGAAAAAGATGTTAAGTATTATAATCATAATAATAATGCAGACCAACATAGCCCCACACTAGGGAAACCCTGTATCGCAGGTTCCATGGACACACACATAAGCAACCACAAATCACACCCAAACTCTCGAGATAAATAAATATAGGCCATACAAATATTTCTCCAGGCCCTGAGGCTATATGTTTGTATGTATGTAATAATTTCAATGTAATAAACCATTAAAAGTGAGTTTGTTTCTAATTTTGTATTATCTTTTTTACAGAGAGGCAACCCTTTACTAAAATTCATAACTAGTGTCGCTTGGGAGTATGAGGACATAATACCAGACTATGAAATTGGGAAAACAATAGGCATTCTCTTTCTTTCATTGCGGTATTACAATATGAACCCTGATTACATTAATAATAGAATAAAGGAATTGGGAAGGAAGTACGAATTAAGAGTGTTGTTAGTACAGGTATGATAAATGCCATCTTTTAATTTTTTCCTTACCAATATGTTTAATAGATTATGAACATATACAAAATGTTGCTTGGACACTATACACGATTACCAAATATCAAAAATTTCCTGTATAGGAAATTACACCACAATGTACATTTGCAATATTGGATCTGTGAATTGATGGAATCATTGATAGTTTTTTTCAATAAGTTCTATGTTTTCTGTGCTTAACTAACTGTGCTTTCAGACAAATTACAGTGAGACATTGGAGCAGGTAGTGGTATTCAACTAAATTTAGGGAAGTAATACACATAAAGGAGATAATACTTCTCTTTGAAGTCCAGGAATTGTTTTGTATTTTGTTCTACATTATTGAATTGAATCACTAGCAACACAAACTTTTTATTAGAGATGAAACGGATAGTGACTTGGTTGGATACCGGATATCCGGCAAACACTTAGGCCAGGTAGCCGGATATCGCGCGATAACCGGAGCGCGCATCGTCATGATTGATTGATTGGAGAATGATTGCACTTTCACATTGACAATTTAATTTGTTGTGGTCGCTTGGTTTTTTTAAAAGCGATTAATTTATTCGATAATACAAACAAATACATAACAGAAAAATGTTAACAGTGAATAATCACAAATTGACCAATATTTTTATATCATGGTTGTGCCAAATGTAAATTTCTATGGAAAAGAAAAAAATAAGCAATTGCATCATTCTTTGACTATATTACAATTTCTAATTTGTTATAATCTAGCACTTACAACAACTAGAAATTGTAATTGTATTATAGCACTTGAAACGCCCGTTATTGCTTTGTTTCAATTTAATTTTATTAATTGGTTTGTGGTCTAACTAATTCTAAGCTTTGATACCAGATTTGCCAAAAAAAGAAATCTACTTACATGTTTATTCTACTATTTATATATTATATATTATACTATTTATATATATTACTACCATCTATAATTAATAAATCAATTTGTTTGGCGATTTTTTCAACTTTCAACATCCGGTATCCGGCTGGATATTGTTCTATTATCCGGTATCCGGCCGGATAGTAAAAATAAGTCGGATACCGGATCTCTAGTTTTGGTTTTTTGCCTTTTATTTTTAATCATTCAATTAACAGCTCTCGGTAATAGAAAATTCCCTAAGAGTGTCAACGTAATTTAGCCTGGGGTACTACTCAGAATACACAGACTAGAACCAATTCAGAAAAGTTAATTAGCATAGTTGGTGTTACCAGTAATTTACCCAGAGTTCTGTTCATCCACTGTCCACATTGCAAACTGTTAGGCTACAGAGGTTGTCAAAATATTATCTTCTCTGTGTATATTAATCGAAGTTAAGGTAAATATTATACTCTGTTCCAATCTTTCAAACAATCTAACTTCTCAGGTAGACCTAAGAGACCCCCATACACCACTAAAGAATCTGACCAGGATTTGTCTCCTCACTGATCTTACACTCATGCTGGCCTGGAGTCCCGAGGAAGCTGCCAAAGTAATAGAGAACTACAAAATATATGAGAATAAACCACCAGATAGAATTATGGAGAAAATTGAAAATGATCCACATCAGAAGGTAAGTGTTACTTGACTCCTATTCGTCATAATAAATGGCGCTGGTAAGCTCCTTTATGGAGAAAATTGAAAATGATCTACATCAGGGGCCTACTACCAAAACCTTTCAAAAAACAATCTTATTTCAATGTAAGCTTATAGTAAGCTTATTATAATATTACTCATATTCGTACCATGACAAACTTATCAATCAAGTAATGTATTAATGCTAAAGTGACTGAAAGAACGAATGATTTCCCAATATTGTCTATTCCTTACTAAAATTAGGAAAGAAATAACGCTGTATGAATTGTATAATGCCATCTCTTAATTTATTGATGTTCCGAATCGTCGTATCGTAGTGTAATGCTAAAGTACTTAATATTATTTACATTCAGAGAATTTTAACTGCCAAAAAAAGAAAAGTATGTAGTAATGAAATCTATTAAAATGCTTCTTCTTCAGTGCAGTGGGGACATCGTGTGTTATTTAGGACCTTTATTCTATTCAGATGAGTCGGAACCAAACAATGGCCGAGTCTCATACGCGAGATGACAGTAATGAACTTCCGACTGTCGTACGCTTTGCACATATGGTACCAAGGTTTCACAGGTATGTCTTTCTGTATTTCAGTGTACCACTTGCCTTTGCTCTGCAAGGTAATGTTCCAGTAATCTTTCCACAGTTTTCTGTTTTTGTCCTTGAAGTATGTATAAGGTCAGTGAAAGGAATTTGAAGAGTGTTCTCATGGTCTTCGTCGGCTGAGTGAATGAATAGTCACAAAGTTGCCAATAAAACATCAGTTTTAACTTTACAATAAGCTTATTTTAAGCGCGTCATGGTACGAAGGTTAAAGTAATATTGTTTTAAGAGGTTGTAATAGGCCCCCAGAAGGTAACTGTTACTTCATTCCTGTTTACCACAAAAGATGGCGCTGGTAAGCTAATTTAATTAATTTAATGTATTTTGCAATGCTTTCAAGATTAGGGTTTTTGAACAAAGATACAAATAAAGAGTTTGTTTAGAATTTTATACACTATTGTATTGGTTGGAAGCAGAAAGATTCATTACTTATATTTTAATTGCGCAATTTGGAGTTAGCGTGTAGAAATTTTCACAGTAAAATTTATTTTGTATCAGTAAATCATTTGGAGGACTTAGTTTATGTTTTTGTGAATACCGCAAATTGGGGAAGGTTTTTACAAATTCTTCAAAATGTATGAAGTACTCTTTTTTTTAGACCAGTTACGTGCCCTGTAGTGCGAATAATTTGGCGCATACTACAGAGTCTGCCAAATAATTGGCAGAACTCTTGTGATGAATATAATCTCAGCACAGAGTATTAAAAAAACCGACCTCAAAAGTCATTCATCCCCTAGTTTGCCACCCTTAGAGACGGAATATTTTCTTCAAAGCAAATCAAAATTTAAATGGGACCACCCTCTTCCCAACAAAAAAAAAACAAAATCAGTTCACATAATAATAATAACACGCCGCGTAATATACACAAAAAAAAATCATACAGTCGAATTGAGAACCGCCTCCTTTTTTCAAGTCAGTTAAAAATAAGATCCTGTAAAGTTAACTTCCACTTATCATACAAAATACTTCAAATATTTAGTGACATATACATAATACGCGGATGATACGTATCGAACAGTATCGCTTATGACACGCCACAGAAGTCAACTATCTCTAGTTGTTAGCGAGACTGTAATGAACCTGCTTACGCACAAAACAATTCAAATTATTTCAGTGGAAACCATACCCGACGTGTTGGTGATCTCTTTCGTAAAATTCCAACGTTATTAATATTATATTATGTAAATGCCTTTAATGTTCACATTTCAATCAACCTCCTTTCTTTTTAGATTATAAACGCCCTAACATCAGTGCGATCAGTGAACAAAACCGATGCTATGACGCTTATATCTATATTCGGATCATTAGAAAACATTATAAAGGCTTCAGAACACCGATTGGCAGAATGCCCAGGTTTCGGAGTCACAAAAGCTAAGAAACTTTACACAGCGCTACACCAACCGTTTTTGAAACGAGGAACTA